TTTGTCTGGCGCACTTATATACAATCAAAAACGCGCGTGTAGCACGCACTAGCGTCTTCGCGAATCTTCTAGACACTCATTACGTGTTACCAGCGTCACGTGACTTCCGCTGTTGTAACAATAATGCTAGTGTAAACGATGTTATTACTACCCCTTTAAGTTAGCTTTTTTTTACAGCAATTTGGTGTTCCTTTGAAAAGCTTAAATTCAGGGTGAAACAGGAATTACCAATATTATGTATGAAATGAAGGGGTAAAAAAAATCAATCCACATAATATTAAGTTTTACTACACACATTCATAAAATACACGAAAATTCAGACAGGGGAAAATGTCACAAAACAAGTAATAAAAAACATTTTGTAAATGTAAAATGATGTAGGAATGGCAGTACTAAAAAGAATGCAAACAGGAAATAGGAATGATACAGCTATATATAGATCATCCTTACATGGCTTTTAATATTAAAATTAAAAATGCACGAGTATAAAATGGCTTCGAGGTCGGTCAATTCGACCTTAATGATGGATGTTGGTTAACTGCTCAACCGCGGGGGCAAAACTTATGTAAGGAACATACCTACGAAGTTTAAGCAAAATATTTTATCAGACCTGTTAGAAAATAAAGTAATGAGGGAATAGTGTTAAAGCATATTTTCACAGTACAATTAAACATAAATAATTTTGTTATGACAAAATGTTGAAAAAATTGTTTTTGTGGTTTTTAATACCCAAGTGCTGTCCTTGCTTATCCTTGTGTGATTTGACAACCAGAAAATAACATAAGTAAAGAGCATCTAGATTGCCACGTCTGGCAAGCTTACTTACCAAATGTGTCAAGCCGATTTATGTGTGTGCCTATGTATGTATTAAATAGGTAATTTAATTTGGAATAGTAAAATTTTAATATTTAAAGTGTTAAATTACAAAATCTGCCTAGTTATGCAACAGGTCTTGAGGCTAACATATGCGTGTCTATTATTTCTTTATTGTTACTTTCACTAACAGTATTGGTTAGAATGTTTAACGTATCTAATTTTATTACTTTTAATTCTTATTTTTATATTTTTTCATTATAAAGATTTGTTTTTGCATTTTTAGCTTATATATATTATGACTAACCTAAATCTCCTGAGCTGACCGAATCTCGTGTTATTATTGGGATTACTGCCGAAAATATCTTCACCAACAGTACATTCTAACCTTTATAATAAGAACGTAAGAAAAGCATACTTAATTAACTATACTCATTAGCAGTTTGATTTTTATTTTCATTCTAAGTAGATAGCTTGTTCTGATCTTAAGCTAATATTATTTAACAGACGTTAATTTCAACACTAATCACAGGCAGGTAGGTATATGAGCACAATGCTGCTAAGTTTTGTATTGTTAAGTTTGTTTTAAATATTCACTCACCATGCTACAAAAGTTCCGCAACGTTAGCATTGCATTGTTAGTATAAATGTATTAAATCAAGTTATCATAATTCAATCAGCTCAAAAGTCGTAATGATTTCGAAACATTTGACTGACCTCTATAAGAAGAGCATAGTCCATTTGTCATCATCACAGGCTCTTCAGGTAAAAGAACTTTTGGCAATTATGCTGACGTCAAATTATTGTTTAAGTTCAGTGTGACTTTCTACTCTTACGTTTAAACGTTATACAGTGGTGAAAAGTTAGTCATCAAAAGGTCAATATCGAATGCATGTGAATCAAAATATATAAGCAAACAACAGTTAAATCTCACTAAAATGTCACAACGAAACAGATAACTTGTACTCTTTAAACACGTAGAGTTATCGACATGATATAAATTTGTAAATATTGCTAACATAAAAACACTATTACCAGTGTATTATTTCTGACAGCATATCTCAATACTTGTTAATTCAGTAGATATAGGAGTTTTATCACTAGGGTTGTCATCTCTTTAAATCTTGGTATTTCTTAGTGTCCTGAAGAAAAAACTGCTTCGTTATTAAAATGTCACTCAGCTTAATGTTATTTTATGACAGTGGTCTGGGTACCACTGGTGGTGCGTGAGGATCTATCACGTGGTTCGAGGGCTGGTCCAAAACCCGAGTAACTGACGGGCAACGCCACGGCCGAGGCCATAGAAGACAACAAGCCAGAATCCACATCCCCACCACTCGCGTGACGTCACACAACCAGACTTCCAACGCCATTCTTCCCTTTATTATTTAATCTGATAAGATTTCTTTTTGCAGTGACAAGCGAAAAAGGGTGTGGTAGGTGGTTCACAGGGTCTTTTTGACCCACCAAAGTAGTCCGAAAATTAAAAAGTTTGAGAACCACTACTCTATGATATATCATTTGTCAGTTGTATAAATTCGTATGCCCAGGCTTGTGTTGTAGAATCATTCCTTTGTTCATGAGTATTATTGTAACAAATCGAGCTTGATCAGCTATTATATTTTTGATCCTCGCTTGTGTGTGGCTCACTTGTCGCGTGCGTACTGTGATAGAATATAATCAGCGATGATACGGGATACCACAAATATTCAAACGATAAACTTCAGTTAACTCCAATAAACTAAGTATTATCATACCCTCTACGACGATCGGAAAATTTGTACCGTCTTTATATAGCAAACCTGAATACTAGTCTTTTCTTTATTTTAGACATTAGTGTTTGTATATTTTACACACATGCTCATATTGCTAGTTACTCTTAATTATGTTTATATTGCTTTGTAAAATGTGTTTCAGATCTAAAGAATTTACGGCTAGGACATTTTTTTTACTTCAATTTGATGTAAATATCATCCCTACAATTACAGAGAACCAAGAAAGGTGATCCTAAGCAAGGTCTCGACAGGTCTAGGGTTCAACATTATCGGCGGGGAGAAAGACGAAGGTATTTTTGTTTCATGTATCTTAACAGGTGGCGCTGCTGATCTTAACGGTGAACTGAAACAGGGTGACCAGATATTATCGGTAAGTCACCATAATGCAGAAGTGAAAATATAGAAATTATTGTTTTTGCTTGACAGAAGTTGGGTTTTTAAACGACACCTTCGAAGACACCGTGTTACAGAATTTTTATTTCTCTTTGCGAGATGTATAAATCATCAAGATTACATTGTTAATTTGTAATTAGAACAGGACAGTCAGTAAAGGTATTCATTTTACATTTGTGATAAATATATATTCTGATCAATGAAGGACAGGGGAAAGTTGTAAAGGCCGCAAAAATATCTATGCATTGCTCTTTTACTCCTAATAATTTGAGAATTTATTTTAGGGATATAGAAGTATATCTATTTTTGCATACATTTGATGACATTTTTAACACCCTTGTATATGCCCTCATCATCAGATCCAAATACAATGTATTGAGACAGCATATTTTAATACCTTAATAGAAAATGGGCAAATCTTTACTTGTTATAAACTCTTGCCATAAACCGTTTGTATACATCTCAAGAAGTAGAGTGATATTTTCTTGTAGGGCAGGTCTAAGTGTAACGAGCTTTCGGAGTCTATAATTTCTGACCTTCAGGTGGTGTTCCAAAACCTCCTAGAAAGTGTCTTTTGTATTAAGGCCTTGACTTTGGCTGGACAAAGATAAATCTTGGATGTCATTTGCCTAAAATTATTGTTGTATCTTGCTTAAGAAGATATGCTCTTACCTGTAAAATTCCATTGAATTAGGCAGTGCAGCATTGTCCACGATGCCACAGTACAACAAGACATTCGTGGTTCTCTTAAATGTCATCAGTGGTCGAAGATGAAACGGGCCTGCACCATTGCACAACTCATATTACTCTTCACAGTTAGAGGAGTATAGTCGTATCTTAACCATTCTGTAGGATACTGCAGTGCCTAGACTCACCCATTTAAATACTCAAATGATTAATAGGATGTAAGTTTCACATGCTGATTTACTATTGGCCATTAGCCGAGTCTTGATGCCACATCATAATTAGAGTTGACTTCTTACATTCACACCTGTGATTTGGTAAGTGACTTCTGTTCTGTAGTTTGTGTTTAAAATCCAGCAGCACTGAACTCTGCACAGAATGAATGTACTGGCCTGCAGTACTGAGCTAATATTAAGATCCTGGATGATGTATTTAATGACATATGTGCAATTTTTTCGAAACATGCTTTTAAAGTTTAGTACTTTTTATGTAATGAAACATATATTTCGATATCTAAAATACACTGTAGAAAGACATTTAGTAAGAAAGTAAAACATGAAATGGAAATACAGCTGAAAAATGACGACTTCGAGGTAGAAATGTTGAAACATACTGCTTATTATGGAATTACTTCATGATTATATGAGAATTGGGAAACTAATGCTATTCTTCATTATGATTTGTCTGTTTGTCGACAGTACTTATCGTCAATTTGTATGTAAAAGGATATAGAACACATCAAAAATAAGTTGTTGAAATCTTCGTAACATAGAAATTGAATTAGAACGAATTTTGTCAGATGTTTTACATATATTTGCCTGTCAAACTCTCAGTTATCCTCTTTATATCGTTTATTTACTTGTTTTTAAAACAATATAATTCTAAAAAAAAATTGTTCGAGTTCCTTGTAATTTTTTTAAAATTTTCAAACATTTTTAATATCACTATCGGCAATTTATTACCTAAATGCTTTTTACAGAACACGTACCAAGTACATTTTTTACTGATCTAAAATATTATATTACTTAATAAATGTTTCATGCCAGAAATGTAATTGTTTTATCATAATGTGATGTTTTTTATTTTTAACTAGTAGATGTTCTAAGTAATTAATTAAATAGACATTATATGTGTATGCTTTAAATGTCTATGTATATAACAAATAGTGGGTGTGTGTGTATTTTACGTTTTCAGTCACATTACTAAGCTTATTTGCATCCAGAAGTAGTTTATAAACATTACAAATTTGTTATTGATACGAAAGTACGAAGTATCTGGTAATGAACAGACAATTTAAAACTGACGTTTCAAGGTAACAAACATAATAAATTAGGAAAAAGAAATGAGCTTGACAGGTTTTATCCCGACGCAGTGTTGCTGTATCATTTATATAAAGGAAGCACTCGGACAATATTACTTAAAAACAACAAGAACCCTTTCTCATCGTTCTTCCGGAAAGATAACCAAAAAATGTGCTGTATGATTGCATTTGTTTTACCACCTTGACTGCACAGTATACGTGGGATGGTACCAAAGAAGCTGGATGAAAATTATAACTTGAAGAACATGCTTTTGACGTTGTGTTTAATTTTTTGTAGAATTTTAGATCATACTCTTAGCGTCACTCGTACACAAAATGATGAACAAGAACGAATAAACAAAACGTATAAAATATCAGCATAAACATTTCGTTAAACTAAGAGCCTTGCTTTGTGGAAACGTCGTTGATAAAGAGATTGGATTATTATGTCTGTGGCATAGGTAAATGGGGTGGAGATGAGGCACGCGACGCACGAAGAAGCAGCGGCGAAGTTAAAAGGGTCAGAGCAATCTGTCAGCATGGTAGTGCAGTATAGACCAGAAGGTAAGTTAACGAATTACTTCTTTCCTTTTAAAGCCTCTGTCTTTGGTCTAAGCAGGATCTTAAAACGTTTCACGGAATATGTCGTCTTATAAACTTATATACGCACATTTTATGTATCAGGAATCCAATCAGTAATTGTAATTTTAAACTTGACACCGGATACTCATTTTGGTCATTATATTATTATTTTTCCTTTTATGATATGCTGTTGGCTATCTCTTATTAGTTTCTATAATCAATCCTTGTAAGTTCTATTCTCTTATTTAACACAGAAATATACGTACAATAAAGTAGATAAACCGAGAAAATATGTGATTACTATTTAAAATAGTTTATTACACCAAATATACTATATCATTCTTTCTGTCCATTATCACGCCTGTTTGTCCACTTTGTTGGCGTATCTCAGTTCTAGTCGTCAGAACAATAGAGTTGTGAGAAATGCATTTGAAGTTTGCGTTCATGACTTAAAAGGCTTCCTCGCACTAGTGTGTTTATTTTCTAGAATTGTTTTCGATGTTAAGATATGGCTTCAATTTAGTTATAGGTTTTGTAAAGCGTGGACGAAAAAAATATATATATATAAAAGTGATGTTGGTAACTTTGGCTTCAGCTATATATTTTCTATATATGCGAGATATTTTAATACAATGAAAACCTCTAAAGTTCTAATAGTGTTTAAGAGCGAAATTTACGACAAGCAAATATCTGATCAATTTCATATCTTCTACCACGTATTGTCAAACCGTCACTGGATACTTTCGTCATCACAGAAAATTACGTGCGCTATTGAACGTTTTCTGATTGAGTTTTGAATAAATTACAACAAGTTATTTTCAATTTGCCTTCACAATACCTTAATCAAACCATAATAATATTGAAATAATTTTGAACCGAATAAGCACAGCGTAATATAATTTATCTCAGTTTCGTTTGTTTGTTTGTGTGTTTTTGAATTTCGCACAAAGCTACACGAGGGCTATCTGCGCTAGCCGTCCCTAATTTAGCAGTGTAAGACTAGAGGGAAGGCAGCTAGTCATCACCACCCACCGCCAACTCTTGGGCTACTCTTTTATCAACGAATAGTGGGATTGACCGTCATATTATAACGCCCCCACGGCTGAAAGGGCGAGCATGTTTGGTGTGACGGGGATTCGAACCCGCGACCCGCAGATTGCGAGTCGAGTGACGTAACCACCTGGCCATGCCGGGCCTCTCAGTTTCCCGCACACACATATATTAATTCTATAGGCAACAACTACGGTAAGAAACCGTTATTTTTGTTTCTTGTGTTATTCATATTCTTGTGTAATAAACAAACCATCGTGTATAGACGCGTAGGTTGTAACTGTATTAACGGACAGATTTTTTCATAAAATCATTATAATGGCGATGTATTTCCAGATGTATAAAACATGGAAACTTATATAATCTGTTCAGTAAAGGGCACTTGTTGAAATGTCGTCACTTTCTTCTTCTGTTAAAGTGTTTTCTTTTCTAAGTCACTGTGGTTTATGTTACAATGGTACTAAAACATATTTAACATTATAACGCTAAGAAAATTATTCATCGCTGGTAATTGTTGATGGCAAAACATGGCCATAAAGAAGTTACGTGGCAAACAAAGGAGTAGGAAGTGTTATGATAAGAACATTTATCTTACATTGGAGTTTATCTACATTGGAGTAAGATTATCTTACAATCTTGTTTTACTTTAAGCTCAAACTAAATAGAACAAAGGGTTATTTGAGTGTCTTATAAACCAAAACATAGTCCATTTTCAAAAACCTTTTTAATTACGTGTGTAGAAATATTCAAAATTAACATCCTTTGTATTTTATTTAGTTATGCAGTAATGATATCAATTATTTATGGCATTAATTATTGTGATTTTGAGATATTACTATTTATGATCTACGCGTTAAGATTATTTGTTGACTTATTAGACTTACAACTTCAGGATGGTTATGAATAAAATTAGGTCATCTTCAGAATATTTGTGGATATTTACATTTGCCTAGTTTGAATAAAAAAGTATTAAAATGATAATCGTTATTCATACTATGCTACTGAAAATAGTAGAGAAAAAAAGGAACCGAGACTGTAAGCTGTTTTTTCGAATAGATAATGTTTAACTTGAATAATTATGAATCACGTTGTATCTTGTATAACCCTCAATGTATCAGTGATAAATCTGAAGGCTTATAATGTCAAAAACCAGGTTTTGATATCCGTGGTGGTCACAGCACAGATAGCCCACTGTGTAGCTTTGTGCTTAACAACAAATGAATAAGTATCATGTTATTCTTGTATACTATTGTTACGTCTCTGGTCGTTTGTTAATTTTTTGTAGAAATTCTTTCCGAGAAACTTCAGCGATACAAGTCCTTTCTTAAATAAAACTAGTTTATTCTTTCTCAATTCAAACACCAACATTGCTGGAGTGTATCCAGTGGCTTCATGCTCTACTGTTCTATAGGTCATCAACAGTGGAGGGAGTAAGACATCCCAGTCATCTTGGCGGCTATTACAAAACTTTGCCAATTCCTGTCCCAGTGTCCAGTTGTATTTTTCTACCATCCCACCAGACTGTGGGTGAAGTGGCGTTGTTCTGGTGTTTTGTATGCCAAACAACTTGCAGCATTCATGGAACACAGCTGATTCAAAGTTACGGCCTTGATCTGAATTCAGTTATTATGGCATACCAAATCTGAAGAAGAAATCACTAATAGCCGAAGCTACAGTTGTAGCTTCCTGATTTGGTATTGCATATGACTCAAGCCACTTGGTGAAATAATCCATCGCCACACAAATGTACCTGTTTTCAGCACGAGTTTGGGGCAAAGGACCAGCAATGTCAATGGCCACTCTTTCCATTGGTGCGGCAACTTGATATAACTTCATTGGAGCACGTCCCTTATTCTTGGGTCCCCTTTTAGTGCAACATGTCCTGCACCATTCTTCCACATCTTGCCTCTCTGTCGTAGGTGACTCAATGTCTTCTTAACTCTGAGATGGCCTCCTGTTAAACTATCATGGGATTGATGCAGCACAACTTCCCGTAACTTACTCGGTATAACTGTTTGCCAGGTCGTCACTTCCCATCTCCGGAGAAGAATACCATATTCAAGCTTCAACTGGTCTCATTGTGCCCAATAGTTCTTTGTCACAGGGCTTAAGCTAGACACCTTCTCC